ATTTGGGGCTGTTTTGGGGCATTTGAGGCAGTTTTGGGGCCGTTTTGGGTCATTCTGGGCCGTTTTGGGGCCGTTTTGGGTCATTTGGGGCTGTTTTGGTGCCGTTTTGGTGCCGTTTGGTGCCGTTGCCGTGCCCTGAGGCCCCGCGGGGTTGTTTGTAGGGCATCGTGAAGCAGGACTCGCTGGTGATCAACCTGAACCGCAGCAACCCCAAGCTCAAGGACCTCTACATCCGGCCCAACATCGCCCAGAAGAGGATGCAGGGGGCCCTCGAGGCGCACGTCAACGGTGGGCATTTGGGGCGAAAAATGGGGGTTTTGGGGCAAATCAGGGGGGCTTGGGGCAAATCGGGGCTTGGGGTTTCCTTTCGATTGGCTTTTTTAGGGTTCCTCAAGGTGTTGGGGAGGTTATCTCAGGGGTGTCTTTTTTTGAAGGTTCTTTGTGAAGTTCTTTGCAGCCCCCCCTACTACAGGGAATATTTTTGGGGGGTGGTTCATGGTCTGGGGGTTTCATAAGGGGTTTTTTTGGGGGTTTTTTTTTGTGGAGTTTTTTGTGTCTTTTTGGGGGTTTTTTTTTGGGTTTTTTGGGTTTTTTTTTGTCTTTTTGGAGGTGTTTTTGTGTCTTTTTGGGGGTTTTTTTGTGTCTTTTGGGGTTGTTTTTTTTGTTTTTGGGGGTTTTTTTTTGTCTTTTTGGGGGTTTTTTTTGGGGTTTTTTGAGTTTTTTTGTGTCTTTTGGGGGGTTTTTTTGTGTCTTTTGGGGTTGTTTTTTTTTGTTTTTGGGGGGTTTTTTATTTTTGTCTTTTTGGGGATTTTTTGTACTTTTTGGGGTTCTTTTGGTCGTCTTTTGGGGTTTTATTTCTGTGTTTTTTGGGGGATTTTTTGTGTCTTTTGGGGTTGGTTTTCTTTTGGTTTTGGGGGTTTTTTTGGGGGTTTTGGGGGTGTTTTTTGTGGTTTTGGTTTTTTTGCTGGCTTTTGGGGTGTTTTGCTGGCTTTTTGGGTTTTCGTTGGGGTTTTCAGGTTTTCATGATATTTTGGGGTTTTTTTGGGTTTTTCATTGGGGTTTTTTTTGTTTTAATTGGGTTTTCATGGGCTGTTTTTAATTTCACTAGGGTGTTTTGGGTTTTCATTGGGTTTTTTTGGGTTTTTACTGACTTTTTTGGGTTTTTTTTGGGGGGTTTTCATTGTGCTTTCTGGTTTTTCTCATTTTTTCATTGTTTTTTTTCTGTATTCATTGGGGTTTTTTGGATTTTTGTTGGGTTTTATTGGGGTTTTTTTTTCGGGTTTTCACTGGTTTTTTTGGGTTTTCATTTTTTTAGGGGTTTTTTTTGGGTTTTCATTGGGGCTTTGGGGTTTTTTGGGTTTTCATTGGGGCTTTGGGGTTTTTTTGGTTTTCATTGGGGTTTTAGGTTTTTTTTCATGTTTCCCTTGGGGTTTTTTGGGTTTTCCAGGTGTTTTTTGGGTGTTTTTGAGGTTTTTCCTGGGCGTTCCCGGGGCCCTGGGGGGTTTTTTCCCTGCAGTTCCCCGTTTTGGGCTCAAACCGGGTGTTTTTGGGTCCTCAGGGTTCCGGTTCACGTCAGTCAGGGGGGACAAGGTGGACATCCTGTACAACAACATCAAACACGCCGTGTTCCAGCCCTGTGACGGCGAGATGATCATCGTGCTGCACTTCCACCTCAAGGTCTGGGGCAAAAAAACGGGATTTTGGGCAAAAAATGGGGATTTGGGGGAAAAAAAACAAATTTGGGGTGAAAAAACAGGTTTGGGGTGAAAACCAGGGATTTCGGGCAAAAAAACTCCTGGGTTTGGGGTCAGAGGTTGGGCTGGGGAGATGATCATTGTGCTGCACTTCCACCTCAAGGTCTGGGGCAAAAAACACCGATTTCGGGAAAAAAACACCGATTTTGGGCAAAAAATGGGGATTTTGGGCAAAAAACTGCTGGTTTTGGGGCCAAACCTTGGGACTTTGGGGCAAAACACGGGGATTTTGGGGTGAAACCTCTGGAATTTTGGGTGAAACCCAGAGGTTTTGGGGTGAAATCTGGTGGTTTTGGGGTGAAATCCAATAGTTTTGGGGTGAAATCTCTGGATTTTGGGGTGAAATCCAGGGACTTTAGGGTGAAATCTGGGGGTTTTGGGGTGGAAATTTGTGTGTTTTGGGGTGAAAATCTGTGGATTTGGGGTGGAAATTTGTGTATTTTGGGGGTGAAACGCCTGGATTTTGGGGTGGAATCCCCTGATTTTGGGGTGAAACCCCTGGATTTTGGGTCCCCAGAACGCCATCATGTTCGGGAAGAAGCCTGGATTTGGGTTGGAATCCCATGATTTGGGGTGAAATCCCTGGATTTTGGGTGTAATTCCCTGTTTTTTTGGTCCCAGAACGCCATCATGTTCGGGAAGAAGCCCTGATTTGGGGTGAAATCCCATGATTTGGGGTGAAATGCCATATTTTGGGTGTAATTCCCTGGTTTTTGGCTCCCAGAACGCCATCATGTTCGGGAAGAAGCCTGATTTGGGGTGAAATGCCATATTTTGGGTGTAATTCCCATGTTTTTGGTCCCAGAACACCATCATGTTCGGGAAGAAGCCCTGGTTTGGGGTGAAATCCCATGATTTGGGGTGAAATGCCATATTTTGGGTGTAATTCTGGTGGTTTTGGGTCCCCAGAACGCCATCATGTTCGGGAAGAAGCCTGATTTGGGTGTAATTCCCTGGATTTTGGGTGTAATTCCCTGTTTTTTGGCTCCCAGAACGCCATCATGTTCGGGAAGAAGCCTGATTTGGGTGTAATTCCATGATTTTGGGTGTAATTCCCATGTTTTTGGCTCCCAGAACGCCATCATGTTCGGGAAGAAGCGGCACACGGACGTGCAGTTCTACACCGAGGTGGGCGAGATCACCACGGACCTGGGCAAGCACCAGCACATGCACGACAGGGACGACCTCTACGCTGAGCAGGTGGGGGGAAAACGGGGGGAATCGGGGAAAAAACGGGGGAAAACGGGAAAAAACGGGGAAAAAATGGGAAAAAACGGCGAAAAAATGGGAAAAAAAGGCAAAAAATGACAAAAAAATGGGAGAATATGGGAGGAAAGGGGGCCTGGAGCTGCACAGGCACGACAGGGATGGGCTGTACGCTGAGCAGGGGGTGAGAAATGGGGTGAAAACGGGAGAAAACGGGAAAAAACGGTGAAAAAATATGAAAAAACGGCGAAAAAATGGGAAAAAATGGGAAAAAAATGGGAAAAAATGGAAAAAAATGGGGTAAAACAAGAGGAAAGGGGGGCCTGGAGCTGCACAGGCACCACAGGGACGGGCTGTACACAGAGCAGGGGGGCAGAAATGGGGGGAAAACGGGGGAATTTGGGAAAAAAATGGGAAAATGGGATAAAAATAGGAAAAACAGGGATAAAATGGGAGGAAACGGTGAAAAGTGGGGATCCGAGGGGGTTTGAGGGGGAGAAAAGGGAACCAAAGGGGCTCTGGAGGGAGGAAAGGGGGGATTGCCCTGGGTTTGGGGGGGTTTGGGGTGTTTTGGGCTCGTTTCTCTCTGTTTTAGAAACACTTCCTGGTGTTTTGGGCTCGTTTCTGGGTGTTTTGGGCTCGTTTTTGCCCATTTTAAAATCACTTCCGTGGGTTTTGGGCTCGTTTGTGTCTATTTTGGGCTCATTTCTGTCTATTTGGGGCTCATTTCTGTCTATTTTGGGCTCATTTCCATACATTTGGGGGTCATTTCTGGGTGTTTTGAGCTTCTTTCTGTCTGTTTTGGAATCATTTCCATGTGTTTTGGGCTCATTTCTGGGTGTTTTGGGGCCATTTCTATTTATTTTGGGCCCATTTCCATACATTTTGGGCTCATTTCTGGGTGTTTTGGGGTCATTTCTGCCGATTTTAGGATCGCTTCCATGTGTTTTGGGCTCATTTCTGTCTATTTTGGGCCCATTTCTGTCTATTTTGGGCCCATTTCTGTCTATTTTGGGCCCATTTCTATCTATTTTGGGCCCATTTCCATACATTTTGGGCTCATTTCTGTGTGTTTTAGGTCCGTTTCCATGTATTTTGGGTTCATTTCTGTCTGTTCTGGGCCAATTTCCATACATTTTGGGCTCATTTCTGTGCATTTTGGGTCATTTCTTTCTATTTTGGGCCCCATTTCTGTGTATTTTGAACCCCTTTCTCTACATTTTGGGCCCATTTCTCTACATTTTGAGCCCATTTCTGTGTATTTTGAGCCCATTTCTCTACATTTTGGGCCCCTTTCCCTCCATTTTGGGCCCCTTTCCCTCCATTTTGGGCCCCTTTCCCTCCATTTTGGGCCCCTTTCCCTCCATTTTGGCCCCATTTCTCTACATTTTGGCCCTATTTCTCTACATTTTGGCCCCATTTCTCTACATTTTGGGCCCCTTTCTCTACATTTTGGCCCCATTTCCCTCCGTTTTGGGTCCATTTCCCCGTGTTTTGGGCCCCAGATGGAGCGGGAGATGCGGCACAAGCTGAAAACGGCCTTCAAGAACTTCATCGAGAAGGTCGAGGCCCTCACCAAGGAGGAGCTGGAGTTCGAGGTGCCCTTCCGGGAGCTGGGGTACGTCCGGGGCTTTTGGGGCATTTGGGGGATTTTTGGGGAGTTTTGGGGATTTTTTGGGAATTTTTTTGGATTTTTTTAGGAATTTTGGGGGGGTACATTTGGAATTTTGGGTGATTTTTTGGTGACTTTTCAGGATGTTTCCGGGAGAGTTTTTGGGGAGTTTTGGGGTGCTGGGATGGCTCTGGGGGTCCTGGAGAGTTCTGGGATTTTTTCAGGTTTTTTGGGGATTTTTCAGGATTTTTTGGGGGATTTTTTTAGGATTTTTTTTAGGATTTTTTGGGGGGTACATTTTGAATTTTTGTGGGATTTTTCGGTGACTTTTCAGGATGTTTCCAGGGGAATTTTGGGGTCCTGAAAAGGGTCTGGGGGTCCTGGAGAGTCCTCAATTTTGGGGGATTTTTTGAGGATTTTTTGGGGATTTTTGTGCATTTTATCAGGATTTTTTGGGGGAGTGTATTTTGAATTTTGGGGGATTTTTGGCGGCTTTTCGGGACGTTTCTGGGGGAGTTTTTGGGGTCTCCTCAAGGATTTGGAGGGTTTTGGGATCCCTCTGTGAATTTTTGGGGTTTCTCTGGATTTTTGGGGTCTCTCTGTGGGTTTTGGGGTCCCTCTGAATTTTTGGGGTTTCTCTGTGAATTTTTGGGGTTTCTGTGGATTTTTGGGGTCCCTCTGTGGGTTTTTGGGGTCCCTTGGCCCGTTGTGCCCATTTTTGGGGTCTCTCTGGATTTTTGGGGTCTCTGTGTGGGTTTTGGGGTCTCTCTGTGAATTTTTGGGGTTTCTCTGTGTGTTTTTGGGGTCCTTTGGGTGGTTGTGTCCATTTTTGGGGTGTGTTTGGGTGTTTTTGGGGTGATTTTGGGTGGTTTTGGGGTGTGTTTGGGTGTTTTTGGGGTCCCTGTGTGTGTTTTTGGGGTCCTTTGGGTGGTTGTGCCCATTTTTGGGGTGATTTTGGGTGTTTTTGGGGGGGGGTTGTGTGTTTTTGGGGTCCCTTGGCCCG